ATAAGCGTTCATAGACTTTTTTGCATAGGCTGGTTTTAAACTGGATCCTCAGATCTAAATCTTGTGAGTAATTAGGATTACAGATGTGAGCTAGCCACTAGTGCCTGGCTCTCTTTCTTTTTTCTTGCTATAGGGGGGTTGAACCCAGCACCTCAAACTTACTAAGCAAGCACTCAAGCACTTCAGCTATACCTCCAGCCCTTAATGGTATTTTTTAAAATATATTGATCAACTTTTTCCTTAATAATTGCTATCCTGGGCTGGGAACATGGCTTAGTGGTAGAGTGCTTGCCTAGCATGCATGAAGCCCTAGGTTCGATTCCTCAATACCACATAAACACAAAAGGCCGGAAGAGGCTCTGTGGCTCAAGTGGTAGAGTGCTAGCCTTGAGCAAAAGCAGCTCAGGGACAGTGCCCAGGTCTTGAGTTCAAGCCTCAGGACTTGAAAAAAAAAATCAGGAGTTTGAAAGTGTGGTTTGAGGTTAAGAGTGTCTGCTTAGTAAGTGTGAGGCCTTGAGTTGAAAACCACAGAAAAAGAAAAGAAACCAGAGGGATCTCTCTACCGAGCACCAGGAGGTTACATAACCATTTACACTCCAAGACAAATTATATAGGAGCAAGGAGTAGAGGAGACCAACTAGAGGCTGGAGAGCAGGCCTGAAGGAGGTGCTTTGCCAAGAACAGTCTGCTTAAACCAAAAGAAGTGGAGATTCTACTACTTGGCAAATTTAAGTTACCACCCAAGTGTGGTGTTGCAGTTGGGCAGAAGATCTATCAATTATAAAAAATAAATCATATTTTTCTCCACACATGTGATTGTATAATTTTATAACCATACTATTATAAATCTAAATGATTATTATACTTTCTTGCCTCTGGGGGGAGCTTTGTTCATAGTTCTTTACCTTCTGTGGTGTGAAATGAGACCAGACTAAATCTCATTATGCAAATTAAAAAGCTGCAAAGTTAGGAGATTTTACATTTTCTGTCACACCAGTCATTCCCTCTGATTTGAGGACAGAGTATTATGTATTTGTACCTACAGTATATACACTGCTTAGGAATATAGAATTTCATTAACATACATTTATCAGGACAATAAATCAGTAAGTGATCATTAAGAAAATAAAGGAAGAACTAGGCACTGTTGACTCATACCTGTCATTCTAGCTACCCAGGAGGCTGTGATCTGAGAATTGTGGTTCAAAGCCAGCCTGCAGGAAAGCCCTTGAGACTCTATCTCCAATTAACCACCAAAAAGCTGTAAGTGGAGGTGTTTTCCAAGTGGTAGAGCATTATCCCTGAGCAAAAAAGCTGAAAGAGAGGTTGGGAATGTGGCTTAGTGGTAGAGTGTTTGCCTAGCATGCATGAAACCCTGGGTTTGATTCCTCAGTACCACATAAACAGAAAAAGTTGGAAGTGGTGTTGTGGCTCAAGTGGTAGAGTGCTAGCCTTGAGCATAGAGAGGCTCAGGGACAGAGCCCAGGCCATGAGTTCAAGCCCTACGACTGGTACAAAGAGAGAGATGGTAGGGGTGGAGGGAGAGAATAAGGGAGGATAAAGAAGAGGGAAAAAGAAAGATGGAGGGTGAATAATTTCTTTATTGTGATTAAGTAATTACATAAATTTCACAGCATTGTGAGATGGTGATACTTAAAAGTCACAAACACATTTTAACCATCATGAGGCAAATTGTCATTATCATGGTGTGAATTCAATGAGCTTTGACAATACAACTATTTCTTCCACATCAGGTGATATGTACATTTCTTTCCTTTTGTTTAGTGTAAGCTGTTCCCTCTTTCCCTCTAATTCCCTCTCTCCCATCACTGCCCTTGAGTTGCTTAGTTCGTTTTCATCAATGTCCAGTGCAGTTAATGGGCCCCTCTGTTGTATGTTTTCTAGGGTGAATAATGTTACTGCAACTATGTATGAAAATGGTATAAGGAACCTCAGCAAAGGTTGCTAATGAGTAGGGGCTTGGGGACAGTGGAGAAGAAAATGCAATAAAGGTTATTCTGAGCAAAACATAAGACACACATATCTGAAATACCATAGTGAAACCCTTTGGTTCAATGAATACACACCGAAATACTGTGCTACATGGGAAAAGTTAGGACACTCCAGTGCTAGAGCTTTCAGAGCTGGGTGCTGCCCCTAAGCTGTTTTGCTTCAGGCTGGTGTTTTACCACTTGAGCCACAGCTCTATTTCCAGCTCTTTTCTGGTTACTTAGAGATAAGAGTCTCATAAATTTTCCTGCCAGGGCTGGTTTCAAACCACGATCCTTAGATCTCAGCCTACTGAGGAGCTAGGATTACAGGCAAGAGCCACTGGTGCCTGGGAATGGCTAAAATAATTTAAAAGATAGTAACAAGCATTGGCCAAAATGTGGCATAATTAGAAGCTTTCACACACTGCTGGTGGGATTGTAAAATGGGGTTGCAGTTGAGAAAATAGTTTGGCAGTTGCAATTAGGTGTAAATATAGAGTTACATCCAGAGAGACTCAATATGTGATTAGAGTGTTGGAACATTTTGCCTCATGCATCAACCTCTTAAACAAGGGCCTTTGATGAGTTTCCAGGCTGATAAACACATCAAGGGTCTTGGTTCCATGCTCCCTCATAGTTTGCCCTGTGCATCCCTTCCCTTCGACTCTTCCCCTTTACTAATCCAGTAAAAGTAAGTCAAACAAGAGTGCTGTGGGTCTTCTAGTGAGTTACAGAACCAAAGGGCAGGGATCAGGAATCATGCAAATCCTCAATTTTGTAGCCAGGTCTCAGAGAAGAGTGACTAGGAACCTGATACTTGGTACTGGCATTTAGAACAGGAACAGTTTTGTGGGAGCCATCCCTTAATCTGTGCAGTTTACACAGACTAGAGGTGTATCTGAAATGTGTGTGGAATTCCAATTTGACCCAAATTGACACTCACTGTGTAGCACAGTGAGTCTTCATTTCAAAAATAAAACAAGCCAGGTGCCAGTGGCTCACGCCTGTAACCCTATTCTGGAGGCTGAGATCTGAGGATCACAGTTAAAAGCCAGCCCGGGCAGGAAAGTCTCTGAGATTCTTATCTCCAGTTAACTACCAGAAAACCAGAAGTGGAGACTAACACGATAGAGTTCTATCCTTGAACAAAAAAATCTAAAGGACAGGCCTGGGAAGGTGGTCTAGTGGTAAAGTGTTTGCCTTGCATGCATGAGGTCCTGGGTTCAATTCCTCAGCACTACAGAAAAAGCTGGAAGTAACACTGTTGGCTCAAGTAGTAGAGCACTCCTTGAGCTAAAGAGCTGTGGGACAGTGCCCAGGCCCAAAGTTCAAGCCCCACAACTGATTTTTTTTTAATCTAAAGGACAGCACCCTGAGTTCAAATCACTATGCCCAGCCATAGCTCATCACTTTTTAAAAAATCACCATTTTTCAAAAATAAACCTTATATAATGTATCAAAACATTACATGGTGCCTCTTTCATATATAAAATTTTTGTTTGCATGTACCTAATATAAATTTAAAAATAATTTGTTCAAATCAGAGCCCAAATAAGATCCACATATTTTAATTGGTTAGCATTCCATTAAAGTTTCTTCTAATGAATAGGTTCGTGTTCCTTTGAGATTTTGTTAAAAAAAAAAAGTTGGGGATCTGGGAAGGTGGTTCAGTGGTAGAGTGCTTACTTTGCATGCATAAGACTCTGGGTTTGAGTCCTCAGCACCACATAAGCAGAAAAAGCCAGAAGTGGAGCTGGGAAGGTGGCTCAGTTGTATAGCGCTTGCCTTGCTCATGAGGCCTTGGGTTTGATTCCTCAGCACCACATAAGCAAAAAGAAAAAGCCAGAAGTGGCGCTGTGGCTCAAGTGGTAGAGCACCAGCCTTGAGCTGAAGAGCTGAGGGACAGCGCCCAGGCCCAGAGTTCAGGCCTCATGACCAGACCCCTCCACAAAAAAAAAAGAACTACATTTTTCAAGTTTTCAAAATCGGAATATTAGTTGCGGGTTCTTAGAAATACCAGGCTTCTTATGAGGGTCAATGGGAAGGGCTGGAAATGTGGCTTAGTGGTAGAGTGCTTGCCTAGCATGCATGAAGTCCTGGGTTTGATTCCTCTGTACCACATAAACATTAAAAGCCAGAAGTGGTGCTGCGGCTCAAGTGGTAGAGTCTTGAGCAAAAGAAGGTCAGGGACAGTGCCCAAGCCCTGAGTTCAAGCCCTATGACTGGCAAGAAAAAAAAAAGACCAATGGAATAGTCATAATTATTTATGACTCTACTTTTCTTCAGGGAGACAGGTGTGAGGTCAGACCCAATACATATCCAGCCAACATATAATAAAACGATGCAGATGTAACTAGTATCACACTGCTAAAGACTGATGAGAGGTCAGGTCCTCTCCTTCCCTCACCCATCACACTAACTGTAGTTTATGTTCTCTCCACCACTAATCTATTGTTGAGAACTACTCCACATAAGGCCCTTGGCTAAACACTCTGACTTATCGGACTCTCAACAGTACTTTAGCATTGGTACCATCGTTCTCGTTGTACAGATAAACAGGTTCAAAGGAGTGAGAGAACGTCCCCAAAGTGGAACAACCTTGTAACGAAGAAACGATTTGCGAGGGTCCTCAAGTGGCATTATTCCTTAGTGTTAACGAGCATATTTGGATTCTTTGGTGCGTCAAAGAGCGCAATGCATGTGCTACAGCTAGTAACCAGTTAACAGACGAGTGAGTACTCCACGTTAGAGGGTATTGAAAAAAAAATGCATTAAGGCAGGGGCCAGCCACAGATCAGCCAGCTGACACAAGGGTGCCGGGGCGCGCCTGCGTGCAGAGGCCCCTGAAGTGGAGGGCGGTGCGCATGTGCGCAGCGTCGGTCCGGGGCGGGACGGCCCTCACGAGATGGGTCCTCCTGCCTCTGGGGGGCGCCAATGAGCCCGCCCGGCACCCGGATCCGGCCTCGCGCTTTCATTATTTATTTACTTATTTCGTACCCACGGGGTACCTGAGATATCAAAATTCGGCGCAAGTCAAGGTCTTTACGCTTCCGGATCTCCAGGGGCAGAGAGACGAGAGAGGAAAGAGAGGCGGCAAGGCCGGGGACCAGACGCCAGAAATCGGCCAGCTGCTAGGGACCCAGACGCCCTCCATTCCTCCGCTCCGAGGTACCGCGAGAACGGGCGGGAGCGAGGGGGGGAGGTAGGGGGGTGGGGGAGGGGGGTCGGGAGGGGGAGGAGTCGCTCGTTCCCTGGATAGATCCGTCTCCCCTCCTCTCCACCATTCTCTCCCTCCCCCCTCCCC